CACAAGCAGTCAGTGGCGCAGTTTAACCAGCCAGCAAGAGGTCACAGCAAGAGGAAATTGCGATGCAGTTTCCTTGTCTGAGTTGGTACCCACATCGTGGGAGCAGAGGAACTAAAGGAGACAATGTGATGCTGGGGAGGAAGCTAGCAATCAGAAGATAATGTTTCCTGAGCGTTAAATGCACACCAGGCAGTGCTTTGCAAGAGGCATCATATATGGCCCACACTGATGTCTCATTATTATGCCCCACTTGGTGAGGAGGAAGATGATGATGATGATGATGATGATGATGATGATGATGATGATGATAACAATAAGGGCCAATGTTTGCAGAATCACCAGTGTAGTAAATGCCCATTCCCAACTCCATGAGACTACAGCAGCTTTTTGCAGTTTTCAAGGATATTTTGTGTGGGAAGGGTGGCATGTTCGCATGTCAGGAATATACAAGAGTACATAGGTATGTGTGTGCAGACATGTGGAGACCAGAGGAACCTGAAGTGTGGTTCCTGGATCACTATCTACCTTGTGCTTTCAGACAGGTTCTCACTGAACCTGGAACTCCCAAGCAGTCTAGGCTAGCTGGCCAGCTAGGTTCTGCCATCCTCCTGCCTCTGCCTCCCCAGCACTGGGATAAGCTTCTTCCAGCACACCCAGCTTTTCACCTGGGTGCAGAGGATGGAGCGCTGGTGCCCATGTTTACCTGGCAAATACTTTCCCAACTCCACCATCTCCCCAGCCCTCAAAGCCACTCCCCCTAGCAGGAGACTGCCAGGCGCCTCTCTTTATGTGCGGTGGCTTGGTAAGCTGTTGCTGTTGAAAGTCCAAGGCTTGACGCTGTCGCTGCCGTTACTGCCCTTGGACGCATTTCACTTTGATGTGGTAGAAATGACTGTTTCCCAACAGTGTCATTTGCCTCTTCTCCTACAAGCACTGAGTATTTGAAGCCAGAGGCAAATTTCCCAGCCTCCTTTGCAGTCATGTCCTGCACTTGATGAGGCCTTTGCAAAAGCCACTCATGGAGCTGCTTAACGGGGCAAATGTGCCTCCTTCACACTCTTGCTCCCCGCTTTCTCCAGCTGAAACACAAGCAGTCAGTGGCGCAGTTTAACCAGCCAGCAAGAGGTCACAGGTCGGCCAATAACAGCCCACGAACAAACCTGGCCTGCACCTGTGTGTCAGTAAAGTTTAGCTGAAACCACCCACACCTCTTCACTCACATGTTTCACAAGGCCTCCTAAGACAGCCTCGGTTTTAAACTTAGGGACTCTGGAATCATAAAAGAGCCAAACCTCTGGGCACAGCTGTGAGGGGCATTCCGGACTGTTGATTGAGGTGGGACCCCCAACTATGGACGGCGTCTTTCAATGGCCTGGAGTTCCCAGCTGAATGAAAGGAAAGAGCAAACTGAGCACACCCGGTCACTTCTCCCCACATCCTGAGTGCGGATGCCACGTGACCGGATGTGACCGGCTGCTTCAAGCTCCTCCCACTGCATCTGCCTCTACACCACCATGGTGGACTGTGCTCTTGAACTGTGCACCGAAGCAAACCCTGCCGTCCCTAGTTGCTTTTGTCAGGTATTTTGTTGTGTCAGTGCTTTAGTTCCTAGTAAAGTCCTTGCGTGCCACATGGCAACACTGAGCAGTTATAACTAAGACCCCAGACCCTCAAAGCCCTTAGTGAAAACATCTGCTGCTCTCACGGTACTCAGAGTCTCCCAGCACTGTAACAAAACACCCAACAAGAGCATCTTCAAAGACATAGGGTTGGCTCTGGCTCGCAGCTTCGGAGATCCATGGTTGGTTGGCTGGAATCCTTTCTCTGTGCCTGAGACAAGACAGAAACGTCGTGGAGGCAGGAGCCTGAGGCTCAGTGGCCAGAAAGCTGAGAGAAGAGAAACAGGAAGTGCCCGGGGATTGCACATCTTTCATAGGTGTGCCACCTGTGATCAGCTTCATCTAGCCAGCTCCCACCACCCATGAATACTGTCAAAACAGGAATCATCAAGGGATTAACCCATTGATTAGGTCAGAGCCCCTTATGAACCTCGTCAAAAAGCTCCCCTCTGGATTCCACTGCATGGGAACCAAACCCTCAGCACGACTATAACAAAAGCAGTTGAAAATACTTTCTTTTCACCTGGTCCCCTACCATAAACTGGGTCAGACTGGGGCAATAGCTCCATAGGTAAGCCATTGCCACACAAGCATGATGGTTGGAGTCCAGATCCCCAGACACTGGGCACAGTAGTACATGTCTGAAACTGTAGCATCCCTGACATGTGACATGCCACCCCTCCCACTCGAAATCCCCTTGAAAACTGAAAGCTGCTGTAGTCCCATGTAGTTGGGAGTGAGCATTTACTACACCAGTGATCCTGCAAACATTGCCTCTATTATCAACTCCCTTATCTCCAATGTAGAGGGTGGAGACAGGAAAATCACTGGACTCTCATTGGCCAACTAGCCTGGGGTGCGCAGCAGAAAACAGCAGAGACCCTGCCTCAGACAACATAGAAGGCAAGGTTGTGACCTTCACGTGCATCCAATAACAGAGAGAGAGAGAGAGAGAGAGAGAGAGAGAGAGAGAGAGAGACTAAGTAATAAATAAAATAGATCCCTCACATTTCTTTCACTAAAGACTATTTAGAAACAGACTGTTCACAAGGTGACCTGAACTCAGAAAGGTGAAAATGTTTCCTGTCGCCTGCAGGTCCTCACCTAGAGTGTGCACATACGTATGTGTAAGCAGCTGAGTGTGGGCAAAGCCTGAGAATCTAGAGAGGAGATGGAGAGGGTGATAATAGGGGATGAGGAAGAGGGGAGCAGGTGGAAAGACAAATGGGACATGAAAGAGTGGGGAGGCTATCAGGGTGACCGGGGTGGCGGGAGGTGGGGGAGACAGGGAAAGAGTCACAAAAACACCCTTTGCTCTAAAATGTCATAATGGAACTTAACGCATTATATGTTGATTTTTAAAAATAAAATTTTCAAAAGAAATATGCTGTTTGATTTCACAGCAGCTGTGAACTTCCTGGTTATCCATGGCTTTGGTTCTATTTTAATCCCATTGTGTCCCAAGAACATCATCGGATAGATCCAATCTTTTGAAATCATTTGGACTTCGTTACAGTGGCGACACAAGCCCTCTGATAAACGTTCCAGGTGCACTTGAAAGGGACCTGAAATCTGTGATCCCATTTTTAAAAACAGCTTTTTATTCCTTGGTTATAAATATCTCCCCCAGCATCGTTGGGTGGCGGAGGCAGTGTGTCTGTCTGTCCTCTGCTTCTGTAGCACCATGGACTGGTGGAGGCAGTGTGTCTGTCTGTCCTCTGCTTCCCTGCAGCATT